AAATCTGTACTTGAGTAGTACATTGTACTATGTTAAATTCCAGCTGTGTTCCTATCCATAGATAGAACCTCTGGGCATGCCCTAATAAATATGCTAACAGTAGACTAAGCTTTCATTGTTCTTCCATTAACTTATTGGAGTATTTTTCTGCAATTACAAACTCTGTGTAAACAATCATGGTATCAAAATAAAGCTAACACTTATGACATTTCATCAGAGGTGTAAATATTACAGCGGTTTTTACTGTGTGAAAGTTACTGAGGCTGGAGAACAGAAAAAGTAAGTAGATCTTTTCCCTCGCCTAATTTATTTATTAATTTTTGTGGAACATGTAGAAGAACCTTACACAGCCACAACAGCCTGGGTACTCCTCCTCATGCTGGTCACCAGCTTGGTCAGTCAGTGCAACTCAGCCAGTGTGTGACTGAGGTTGCGTTGGTCACTGTGTTAAGTGGAGTTGAAATCAGCCATCAACATGTGTGGCCTTGTTTTGTTTGTTACATTTTTGGAAAAAACAAACTGCAGGTACAGAGTGTTTCACCAACAGCATGTCATTGATATCTATGATAGACTACGTATTCCAAGACCAAACCAAGCCTGAGGAATACTTTAAACTTTATGCACAATATTCATGGAGTAGTGTGAACGTAAACAAACAGCCAACAGGCGGTATCTACTACGTGAAAAATGGCGCCATCTTGTGGTCTCTTTCTGTCACTATAATTCATTCAAGGCTTTGTGGAAAATGCTTCACCTGTAAAAGTTTCAAAGTCACCGGTTAAAATCATTTTCAAGGACATTTTAAAAGTTTTAAACCAATCAGCTAAAGTTTGACAGCTGTACCGACCAGTTTCCTCCAGTCTATTGTAGCAGACTGTTTTCAAAAAATGGATAGAGGAGACCACTCACAAAACCGTGATGGTGTTGCACAAAATGATGTTGGTGTAGGGCTGGTGTAGGAGAGCTAAAACAATGTTTAAACACTGAATTTTGAGCTAGGCTGGACAGTCAGTGCTGCACCCATCTTCCAAAGCTACGAGTGTCCTACATTGTGTTTCTTTCTACTGAGGAGCTTGCATCCAATAAAAGCAGCAGGAACAAACCCAGGAAACAAATAAGAAGAAAAAAGTGAAAAACTGCAAAGCAGAAAACAGAGACTTAAAGAAAGGAAGATAAATAACAGAAAGAAAAAAAAAGAAAATGTCATGGCTGTGTGAAGGCAGGCAGGAATCCAGGAGCAGGATTCACAGAGACAAATGTGAAGTCAAACAACTGGCTTTATTGGGAGTTTGCAGATTGAACAGAAAACTAACTAAACTTGGAAAGCAACAGGCAGGAAAACGGGCAAACAGAGTAGAAAGAGGGATGATGCAACGACGAGCAGGGGAAGACACAGACACTAAATACAAGAGGTGAACAGGACTGAGAGGAAACAGCTGTGAGACACGGCTGACACTGATTACACAGACGAGACAGGGAGAGCACAAAACTGAACACACGGACATAAGACGCAGACCAAAATAAAACAGGTAACGCACAGACTGGACTCAGAGACACAGTAACAGACAGAGAACAGAAGGAACACATGGGCAGAAACTAGTGATGGCCAAATGAAGCTTTCCGAAGCACTGAAGCTTGTATTGAAAAACGGTTCATTACTCGAAGCTTTTCAACACAGTCCTCTCCGGTGACATCTGGTGGTGAAAATTTTGAAGAGCAGCTTGAATCTGCAAAATAAAACGGACTGCTCAATCATCGCTGCTCACTCAAGAGTGGAGTTCTCTCTGATATTGGGCCACCGTTCCGTTGCTTTGAACATGTAATTGGTTTTGTTTTCTCGATTGGGGGGCTGAAAAAAATGTAATGCGTATTTGCGTAATACATTTTGATCAATAAACTTTCCCTATTTAAACATGCACTATGGTGTGGCCTTTCTTTGCTCATAACTCCTTGATGTTGGTAAATACAATAAGTGAGCAATATATATAATATACATATGAGAATGCACAGCACATTATGGAGTATGCCCCTGCTGTGAAGTCCTGCCTCCATCTACTTGTCGTTTAATCACTGGACAGCTGGACAGGTTCATACAAAATATTAGATGAGGCCAATTGTCCTATACATATTTTTGCCCTGGGGGTGGGACTGATTGTGAACTGGAAAGGGAAAATGCTTAGGGAGCTGAGTACGGCTGCATCGTCACTGATTTGTAGAATCATTTTTGATTCGATACAGGATCCGATTCAATTTGATTGGAATCTGGAAAGTTTTGCCTCAGTCAGAAATATTACAATTCTGATCATTTAACAGTATATATCCATAATTTCGTATCTATTAAAAGAAAGCTGACACATGTGAGACTTAATTAGAGATGTAAACAGAGAGTTATGAAACCTGCAGCTGCAGAAGCCAGCGGAAAAAAAGAGGCAAACACAGCGCGACCCGACGACGCACCAAAATCTGACTCTGACGCGTCGGGTCCGCGCTCTGCGTTCACGTTTGTATGCAGAATCCGTAAACCTGCTCCCAGTTACTGTTTTAGCTGTATGGTGTTTGACGACATGTTGTGAGGTTTAACCTGAGATGCTGGCGTTTCAGGCATAATAACGTTAATTTACAAATCGACACGGGATTTTAATGAATCAATATCACTTTATTCAATTTAGCATGGATTGTAATCAGAAAGGCGATAATCAAAACCCACCCCTAATCAAGAACTTGCAAAGTAAAAACATGCTCTATGTCAGGTAGCCCTTTTGTTATTTACATTTAAAAAGAGGATTAGTGTTACTGTGCGCTGGCTGAGTCTGTTTCTTTTCTTAGAAATAGTTTCTCCTGCCCTGGAGAAAATCCACTTGCATGGAACAGAAGAGGCTGTGGAGTGCAGGAACTACACTGCAAGCTGGTAGATATGCAGGTATTCCTGGGTCCTGCAGACTATCACCTAAAAACAATAAACAAAATGATTTTCTAAACTGTGTAGCAATGTAATGTACGTATAGTGTCAAATACATTTTTGTAGTCTTCATTAGCTTTAATTCACATGGAAGTGTTCCTGAAGTCATATGCTGTAATGATATTTACATTATGAAAACATGATTTTGGACATTTCAAGTTTTTCACTTCGGCAGATAAAATGAATTGAGCAAAATCAACTCAAAATATTCCCACACGCCAGAACGTCCTCTCTTCCTCGCTGGCTCCATATCTGTCAGTGGAATGATCACCTCTTCGCTCTCTGTCACCATCAACACACTCCACGAATCCCGTGGATGATTCACTTCCTTATATCCGTTTGAATCAGGTACCGAAGCAGTTACGTGCGTAATGAAGCTTCGGACGTCACTGGTCACGTGACTTTTGCCAAACGAAGCAAGCCTCGACACAGTGCTTCTGAACCAGTGTGTTGTTTTTTTCGACACACGCTCCGGAGCGTCAGCTTCAAGCGGGCCATCACTAGCAGAAACTAAACAGAACCAAAACCCTTAAAACTAAAAAGTTTAAACCCGAACACATAATCAGAATTAACTAGAACACAAGATCATAACAATAATAATAATAATAATAATAATAAACACAAAAAGTTGGGTCAAATGACACAGGACCATGACAGAAAAATAAAAGATGAAAGAAGAAACTGATGACCAGATAGGCAGCAAACGAGTCAGGTCATGCAGCAAATTGTCAGACATCATCTCAGACAATGATGAAGATCCAGATGACCGTGTGTCAGCACCATCTACATCAGCATCAGCTGGACACTGGAAGCAAAAATGAAAGGAACATGAAGAACAAGATGGGAACGACAGAAAACAATTCAAACAGGGAATTTTGCTGACGGACAATCAGCGTTACACCCCACCCCAGTGTACTACATGTAACATGCTCAGAGACTGAATGTCAGCTGGCCCCTTCTGACCCACTGACTTAGTTTCCTGCCACCAGTGACCTGTTTACCGGACTTCCCCTATACCACCTGTGGATATCTGTTCAACCTGTGACCCAGTATGATTGTGCATACAAGTGGAAAGTAATATCCTAGTACCTTGTTAGATGGTGATGATTGTGGGCTCACTAGTCGCAGACATGGAGGGAGTGGTCCTATTGGTTGGCTCCCACATTAGGAAGGCAAGGTTGGGGCCTTCCTATCACTACTGTGCTAACGTAATTAAAAAATAAAGTAAAAAAAATTACAACACCACCATCTTCAGATAGAAAAGTTTTTCTGTTTTTTTTTTTTTTGGAGTTTTTCCTTCCCACTGTCGCCAAAGTGCTTGCTCATAGCAGGTCATATAATTGTTGGGTTTTCCTCTGGATCCATTATTGTACGATCTACTGTACAATATAAAGCACCGTGAGGCGACTGTTGTTGCGATTTGGCGCGATATAAATAAAATTGAATTGAATTGAATGTCCTTCAAGAAGCCTGGAGAACCTTTCCTGAAGATTACTTTTGCTATAATAAAAAAAAAGAAAAAATTAAAGCAAAGGTAATGACTAGTTTGGGGGTTGTAGTCCTTTAATAATCAAGGAAAAGTAGTACATCCACAATTTTAAAAAATGCTTTTATTATAAATAATCCTGTGTGGATTAGTTACTTACACATCAAAGAAATGTTTTACAGGCAGAGCATTGCTCATCTGAGTTTTTACAGACCCAGAGTGAAGTTCACACAAGTTCAGCTTTCATCACCTGATCAGTACGCCACTGAAGCAGACCCACTCTGCTCTGTCTTTGAAGATTCACCATGAGAAATTGGCATTCCTTGCTCCAACTGTCCACAATATGAAAGTCACAGGAAAAACAGACAAGTCTTTTTGTTTGTTTGTTTGTTTTCTTTAGCCTACTGTGGTGCCACTTAAAATCCCTGTGTTTGAACAGTACACTTCAATTCTGCTTTAACAGCAATCCTTGATGTGCAGGGAAACATCACGGTTAGCAAGCTCACAGCGAGATTCTTCTTTCTCTGGTCCACATGTGTAATATTTATGTTTTTGTCCATCGAGCCACTCCATAGAGCTTCACCTCAAGTAATATTCAATTGCAGCAGAGAATGCAGCAAAGCCTCCACATCCCAGAACACCAGCCTTCAGACCAGCTGCAAAACAGAAAAATAAACACGTGGACAAAATGAATAAATTTGCTATAATGCAAACTATTAGTTAATAAAGTAAGTTACATACCGCGAAAGCCAATAGCTCCTCCAGTCACACAACCACTGTACACAGCATTCTTCCAGTCAGATTTGCCTCTGTGCTGTAAATGAAAAACAGGTACAAAAAAGACACTTATTACCACAGTGTACTGCAGGGTTAGAATAAAAGCAAGAAATGCAAAGCAAATATAATACTGGCATCTACATTTTAGAGAGAGGAGTGACTAATAAGAGATAGCTGGCATCCACCTTTGCTGTACTATTTGCACATTTACAAACTTAGCTTAAGTTGCAACTACTTTGCTGAAAATGTTTTGCTGTCCACATATATAATATGTCTTCAGTGATTCTGATGGTGCTCTAGTAATCTGACCACATATTGAGCATTTTTCCTCTTTGAAGCCATGTTATGGATTCACATCACATCTCAAACCCTTGTTGACAAACTGTTATCATTATTTCATTCATTCCTTATTATTCTAAAGAGACTGATGGATACATTGAAAATGAATCGCCTTTGCTCATTTTTGCCTTTTGTTCTGAACTCCAGTCTGAGGTTATATGTCCACTATGAGTCTGTCAGAACCCACATGAGGATGTAAGAAGCTGTGACCTACTGATTCTATGATGCACTCTGTACAGGAGAACATGGCGCCCACAATGGCAAAGTTCTTGGCATAGGACATCCCCCTCTGGCCCATGTCTTTTAGAACCTCTCGTGCTGTTGGAGTTCTCAAAGGGTCTTTGGGGTCGATGCCAACATTAGTATCAATTCCAGCTGTGAAAACGCCGAATGCTCCTCCAAGGACGAACCCTGTGGTGAGCAAAAACATCATCAGACTCTTAAAATTGTAATATATACAGATCTTTTCTGCTATTGAGCTGAATGGCTACATTTGGGCAACATCGTGGCTGTATTATAAACTGATTATTTGATACCTGTTTATTCAAAACGCTCTAAAATGTTGCTTTTACGTTTCTTATGTCTGAACACAAATACATAATTTTAAAACAAGACAATATCGATGACCGATTGGTTTGATCAGATGACTGATTAATTTGCTGTTTGTTGGTATAACAGCATTACAGCTCCCATAGCCTCGTATATCTGAGGTGACTTAGCACACGAAATATTCTGCACGAGCAGCCAAACACGCACAAAAACACCAAACCCTTGTGATGTTTGTTACACTCTCAATGTCTCCGTTTACCTCCCACACAGGCCAGCAAAGACTTGAAGGCGCAGCTCTCCATTCCCCTCTCGATCATCTTCTGCTCGTCGCTTTTCGGAGGCACGGGCAGCCCCCCCATCACGGCGGGGTTCAGGCCCTTCACGGGCCTCTTGTCACCGATAAGATGCTCCAGAATCATACTGTACTGAAGAGTCGGGCTGTCCACGCTCGGGCCGACCGAAGCTGGGCCTTGTGGGTTGGAAGCAGCAGCGTTTGCAGCTCTTGTGGAGGCCGCCATGTTTCTCAATGACAGAGCTTCAAGTAAATGTTGTCGAAAGACGAGCGCGCGCATATTCGTCCCATTTGTCTGCTGATAGAAATAACGGTAATTAAAGTGTTTAGCTTCACAAAAACACGAATAAACCACGATAGATTAAATAATGTGTGTATTCTCATATTTTTTTTATTAAAATGATTTTATTTTCTCACTAAAAGATTACTTTGGTTAATTTTAGCACATTCGACACAAAGTCAACCTGTATTTAAAGTGTGGTTGAGGAGTTTATGCTTTTACGTAACACCGTACGTCTACCTACACTCTTTCCACTGGATTATTGTATCAAATAATAATTAAATAACGTAACAGAATTTCGCAAGACTATACTAGATCTTATTGATTACTTTACATTTAATTCTGTTTTATTATATTAATGTCTTCTAAATTACTTTTATTTTTGTGTTTATTTTATCATTAATATATTTTTCATTATTGACGTCTATTTTCTTTATTCAATACTCCTGTCTTTATTGTATTGTTTTTTATTTATTACAGTTTATCTATCTCGCCTGTCACTCATCTGTGAACCACTTTGAAGCACACTAAACTTCAAACAAAGGTACAGTACAAATTAAATTGACTAAATAAGTTTACACCTGAGGCGAAAACGCTGTTCCTTACATGCTGTCTTATCATTTTTCTGGCCTGTTAAAAAAAGACCACATTTCCCAGAAACCCCTTAAACACTGCGCCAAAGCATATGCGCCAAACTCGCTTCACGCGCTCCACCTATCGGCTCGAGCTCAGACCGCTGGTGGTTAGACCTTAATGCGTGCGCGAGGCGGCAGTGGCAGCATCCTGTCAACACAGCAGCTCCACCGCAGTACGGAACAGGTGAGATTAATTAACACTTGTTTATTTCTCATAGCATGTGGCCTTTCTGCTTTTTTCGTCCGTTGTTTGGGGTGAAATTTGTAAACTTCACTGTAAAGGCTCTACTGTTTCTCGGTGTCTAAATTAAAGAATGGGCTACAGAGAGTCGCTCGGGTTTCGCCGAGTTACACCAACGTAGAAGTGGCTGACGGTGACATGCTCATTGCCAGCATAGTCACTGTACACGTCTATGCTCCTTTAACGTAACGACTAGTCATTGTCAGAGCAGACGCGTTTTTCCTCAAACGATAATAACGGCTGTCATAAAATTATAGCTCGAGCCAAGGACGTGTTGTTTTCACGCTAATTGAGCGTGGCACTGTATGACTGCAGTGATGGCCAACAGTAAGTGGACTAACAGTACTAACGCTGCATTTCATGTCCCATTTTCCGTAGCTGCAAATGTCCATCCTGAATTTTTCAGTTTACTGGCTAAGGTTGCACCATCGCGAGTCCAACAGGATTCTGCTTGAGCAGTATTTATGCCTTCTTTATAAACATTAAAATAAAAGGTATTAACGCGGTGATAGTGTTGATGCCTGGTAATGTAACACTTTGTAAGTTTCCTCCTTAAGGAAGAACGGGTCAACTTCTTTAAACTGGTCTGAATATTACGCTTAAAATCTTTTCTTTGATCTGATTAATTTTGTTGGTGTACAATGTGTCTGATATAAATATCTAAATATCTAGTACTGGAATAAGCTTATCCTCTTGTAAAGTGGAAAGTAACCCCGGGTTGGTCTTAAAACCTCTGCAAAGAGAGGTCAGTCAGGTCCTGGTTTCCTGTTAGATTTTAGTTTTGGTTTTTAGTGTTTGTCTAACACTTCTCCCTGACAGAAACATAAAAAATGCAGAGATAAAGTTACTAATGTTGCTCAGGCTTTAAGTAAATTTTGATGCTAATGGCAAATTACCTTCAAAACTGCCTCTGTGTGCTGCAAGCTGTTTTTCTACACGTCTGGGGTGGCTGTAGCTCAGGTGGCAGAGCAGGTCAGCCACTAATCAGAAGGTCGGTGGTTTGATCCCAGGCTTCCTCCTGCCTGCATGCCAAATATCCTTGGGCAAGATACTAACCCCGTGTTTGCCTACTGGTGGTGGTCAGAGGGCCCGGTGGCGCCAGTGTCCGGCAGCCTCGCCTCTGTCAGTGTGCCCCAGGGCAGCTGTGGCTACAATGTAGCTTGCCATCGCCAGTGTGTGAATGGGTGAATGACTGAATGTAGTGTGAAGCGCTTTGGGGTCCTTAGGGACTAGAAAAGCGCTATACAAATGCAGGCCATTTTACGTCATCAGCCAGCCAGTTGTTCCCAATTAGTTCTGTGTGAAGCTGTCAAACATGTCTTTGTGTTTTCTTGCAGGTACTTGTAAAACGTTTGTTGGTTTTGACTTTAGTAGATCCTTAAATGTTTCATTATGACAAATTATCCTGACTAAGCTTCTGTGTGTAATTTTTCTCTCGCCAGGTAACCTTTAAATGTAGACTTAAAAGATGGGTTCCAGAAAACCAGCCGAGTATCTAACATAATCATGCCTGAATGATAAACTTCAGCAAAAGAGAACATTTCAGTAATGAAAAGAGAGGAAAAATTAAGAAGCCAAATACATATTTTAATTACACGGCTCACTTTGAAGTCCTGTGACAAGTGAACAAATGACGGTTTTCTCTTTTGAGTATGCAAACAGAAAAGCCAGTTCAAACATAAGCAATGCACGAGCTCTGATGAGGTTTGTTTTTAGGCAATATAAGGCTTTGCTTCTCATGGTTAACCATTTAAGAAGGGGAAATACTTCATTGGTCTGGACACAAACTCTATTGGATATCGATAATTTGTCAGCAGCACGATGGGCAGTCAGACAGTAGCTCATTCTAAAGTGGATACATCAGGTTGTTAATTTCTCAACATTAACTGATGAAATTGGTTCCTGCCTTTTCTCAATGTGCGATTCACACAGATTAGCCACAGCATTAAAACTGCAGGTGAAGTGGGTGTAATCCATCCCTGGGTAAACTCTGGTCCTGGGATTCACCTGGATATTACGCTCACTCATACACCCACTTCAACATGATAACAGATCAAGCACACGCCCTCCTCGTGGTTAACATTCCCTGTAACAGTCAAAAACTTGGTCAGGAATTAGGCATGAGGGCCATAACAAGGAGTCTGAAGCAGTGACCCTGTCTCCACTATCCACACTGTGCAATCCCATTGATCATCTGTGGGATGTGCTAGAAGTCGTCCAGTCCACAGAAGTGCCACCCAGCAACTCATAGGACACAGAGGATTTGCTGCCAACATCCCAGTGCCAAACACCACAGAGGTCATGTGCATATTGTAATGGGTCAGAGCTTGTGTGCTCTCACAATGAGGGCGCATATTAGGGCTGGGGGTTTTAATGTTGTCTGATCAGTGCAAGCCAGAAAAAAGACAGAACTAATAGGATTGCCATCTTTGCCGTAGAGGTACTTGGAACCCTTTAGAGCCTCCAGTGGTGATTCTTTGTCAGTTGATTTTTTTTTTTTTTTTTTTTTTTTTTTTTTTTTTTTTTTATAAACTTCCCTCACCCTTACAATGCTGTGATTGCAGCCATTTCCCAACTCTCTTTGAATGGTACTCATGGTCATTCTCTCCATTGATAAGTAGTTGTTGATCAATGGTCATGGGAATTTGCATAATTACGATGACGCAACTGACCTCCCAGCCCACTGTGACTGCTGGTTTCAGTCATTATGCAAATGGTAAATGGCCTGTATTTGTATAGCGCTTTACTAGTCCTCAAGGACCCCAATGCGCTTTACACATCCAATCATCCACACACTGGTGATGGCAAGCTACGTTGTAGCCACAGCCACCCTGGGGCGCACAGACAGGGGCGAGGCTGCCGGACACTGGCGCCACCGGGTCCTCTGACCACCACCAGTAGGTAAGTGTTTTGCCCAAGGACACAACGACCGAGACTGTCCAAGCCGGGGCTCGAACCGGCAACCTTCCGATTACAAGGCGAACTCCCAACTCTTGAGCCACGATCGAAATGTACTTTTTATAAGATTTGGGGAAACCTGCAGTCAGCTGAGACTGAAGAAGTCACTTGGATGAGTGACGAAACGTTTCTCCCACTGAAAACGCTACGTCCAGATGAACATGCTGTGTGAAATGAGTCTGCACTGGAGTAACCTTTTCCTGATTTAGTAATCAGAAGCATAATACTTTATTAATCCCTAGGGTTTTCTGGTTCTGATGATTAAAAACAGTGAAAGGCAGTAATTACAGTGATCTTAGTCCGCTATGCTTAATCAGGTAAGCCCTCATCACAGATATTTTGCCAGGTTACTTCATTGGGAATGACGTACCACGATAATTAAGAACTGCTGACTCGGTGTAAACCTTAAGACATCAGTAACTCATCTTAATTCATATGTACACTGTCCAAACCTCCAGCTCCCCTAAAAGGTAGCTTGGTGGCTGTCAATAGATACTATAATTTTAATTTCTAAATATATTGCAATGCTGTGAAAAACATTAAAGTCAAGATTTAGTTTTCCATATTTTGTTCTGTTTCAGAGTCATAAAAAATTCTACTAATTTTTAGATTATCAGATGGACTGCAAAAAAGTTGAAACATTTCAAGGACCACTGATAGAAGCTTTCCAAATTCATTTTGTACCCTTTCCTTCTGCTGTTGAGTTGCAGCATATTTAGAAAAGCAATGTTGGGTAGAGGTTAAGGGGAATAACTGAATAGCCATCTGGCATTGTTTCAGAAGTCAAGTGTGGGTCATTGGTGAGTATTGCAGGTCCTTGGTGTAGTTTAAACCATATTGTCAATTCAATAGTGAGGAGGGACAATTCTGTAAAAGATGGAACCAGTTAGGAAGCTTTTCAAAATATGTGAATATCTGCCTCATCTATAACTCTGTGGACACATTGTAGCTTGAGGAAGAGAGAGTCTATGTCCATGTAAAATAGAAAGTATGTGTTGTTTTTAAAGCCTGTGCATGTCAATGTTTAGACTGTGGGCTTGTTCATAAAGCAATCACCTTGGCAACACTTTCCTTTGCATACATTTTTGTGTAACGTCACTGGGAATAAACAAATCAATGTGTTATGTGGCTTTAAATTAAATTGATTATATTAAGAAAGGTTTAAAGATTCAAATGAAAATGAAGCTCAGGGTCTGTATCAGTTCAAATTAAGTGTTAAATAAGAGCAGATCTGTCTGAGTATAGTTCACAGTTCCAGTTTGAGTCAGAACTGGAGGGTGTTGTGTTGTCATACAGCTAAAGTATAGCTTGAATAACTGTTTGTGCTTTTAAGGTCTATTTCCCAGAGCGCTCTCTCTTTGTAACCATTCATTTAAAATTTATTGCTATGCGTTTTGACCCTCTTGTCTATGTCAAGAATAGCTCTAAAACTCTAATATGGTGCCAATGCTAATATAAAATGGAAAGCCAGTTCTAAGCCTGGTGTGGTCAGTCAGCTCTTTTCTATCCCTGACACACTTGCACACACTCATCTGAGAACAAAATGGTTCTTATTCGTCCTCAAGAGGCAAGGTCTGGCCTGTATGTACAGTTGGAGTGGCATGTCCTTTACTGCAATAGAGGAGAATTTAATTGAGGAGATAGGGAAGAGATTGGATGATTGGAGCAGAAATGAGTACTGCAGTGGGATTCAATCAGTTGAATAAACAGAAACCTTTGTTTCTGGTAGTCCACGTGCCTTCTGAGAAACTTGTTATATTCTGGGATATTTTAACTTTTCCTTTGTAGAGGCACAGTTGGATTCCAGCCTTCACATTATTCCCAGGAGCAACTTTCTCTTTGCTTTTTTTTTTTTTCCTCCTTAAGCTAATGCTCAATCTATCAAAACGCTAGTGACTAAAAGCCATTGCACTACGTTTGTCTGAGAGCATTCAATTAAGAAGGTAACTCTAAGAATACTTTTCTTTTTGGCTGTTTTTAGTTGATTACTGTCCAGGAAACTGATTGCATTCTTGACAAGCATCGCAGTCTGAGTGCCTCAAAGGAATGCTTCTGTTTTTGTAAATGGGTCATTTGGACCAGATCTGAGGTGAAGCGCAGATATGGTCTTTACACAAATATCAGGCTTTTTTGCCTGCCCTCCCTCCTGACAACAACAGCTGTGCTTTTCAAAAGTGTAATATCCAGCTCTAGAATGGACAAATAAAATAAGCTACTGAGCTATTTTGAGGAGAGGACAGGACAGGCCAGTTCACATGTGTGATGTTTATGCATACACGGGGAGTGTCATTATGATGTTTGCTTGGTATTTGAAAGATGTCTGAACCATTGTAATAGCTTTCAGTCTCCATACAAATTAAAATGGTCACACCCACTGTTCACATTAAATAGCTCTGATGCAACAAGTCTGTGTACTGTTGCAAAATCAAAAGGCGCAGAGAGGAAGCCTCCTCTTGGGTTGGACAGAATTTCTAGTCAGTGGTACTAATACTACGGTGTTCCATTGTGGAAAGCTACTGAGGTCTGTTTTTTTTATTCTCTCACAGTCATCTTGGATGCTATGCTAGTGTTTCTATGGAATCCGCCCACTCATTGTACATGTAGCCAGCCAGGACAGACTGAAAAGTAGCTGAAGTTTTTTGCAACGTGGCTTTGACTGGCTGTTTATTAGAAAAGAACTTTGACACCATCAGAGCAGGAAGTTAGCCCCTCGAGGGAGCCTTGCTCTGAGAAAGATGAAACGGAGGATGGACCAGATGAAATATGCATGAAGACTGTATCTAGCTCAGCTCATGCTCCTGTATCACCGACGAATCGAGGACAGAGCAGGTTTTTGGGAAATAATGGATGACTGTAACTGCTGTGATGTGGCACAGTGAATACCTCAGTTATTCACTGTGTATAGTGATTGTTCTGATATTGATACACTAGTTTTTGAAGGGTTAACTTTATAAACCTATATTTCCTTAGAGGAAACATTAAGAATATAATTAATTTATGAACATGTATGTTC